AGCAGCCTCCTGGAGCCATGTCTGCTGGAGAGGAGCAGATGGGTGTCACAAAGAGCTCCTCGTTACTTCCTTTTTCCAGCCCGTCTCCTGTGATGGGACAATTAGTGTCTTCCCGAGGCTTGACACACGGCGTGGGGACTCCCAGAGCTGCCCAGGCCGGTTTGGGAGGGAGTTGTGTCCCTGCTGTCCCCATGCTGGATCTCTGGACTGTGGTGGGCTGGGGGCATCCCCTGGCCTGGCAGCCTGATGGATGATGGATCAGCCCTGGGCTCAGGGGATGATCGTGGCACATCTGTGCTGACAGAGCTGCTGGGGCTGGCAGGATGAGGCAGGAGGGAAAAGGGCCATGAGTTCTGCACCCCTTCCCAACACCCAGATTTCATGCTGCCACTTGGGCTGTGCCTGGCAGCACCCTGGGCTCCCCATTTTGCCTTGAATTACAGCTATTTAGGCTGATGTCTCAGACGCCTCAGAGGTGACAGCCACGGTTCAGGGCATCCTTTAATGCTCCAGGCTGCTAAATACCCTCCCAATCAATAAGAGAGCAGCTGGAAGTTGTCATCCAGAAATCACACAGCAGAACAGACTCCTTAATCCTTCCCGAAGGCTCCGTGAGGTGGACCTGCACACCTGGGCAGAAACCAAGGGGAGAACACGGGGAGAGACCCCAGTGCGTGTCCTGCAGCAAGGGGAAACCCACAGCAATGGTCTCAGTGCTGTCCTGTCCCATAGCCAAGTGCTCCCTGGAAACAGCCCTGGACAACGCTGCAGGACACGCTGCTCATCGAGCTGGAGTGGCTCCAGGCTGAATCCGGGCTCTGCTCCACGTGGGAGAGACACAAAACATTTGTCTTCTTGTCGCCCCATCCCGCCTCAGCGCTTCCCCACGCTGCAGCCCCCGCGCATCCCCCTGAGAGCATCCTGCTCAGGCACTGCTCCATCCCTGTGCCCCATCCTCTGCACACACACCAGCACACCCACACCACATCCCCAGCACAGCTCCAGCTTCCCCCCACCAGGCAGCTGCCCACGGGGCCTTGCTGACCCCCAAGTGGGGCAGGCACAGAGCGATGGACTTCTTCGAACTGTGGTCTGCTGAAGCTCAGGGCTGTTTGGGGCTGGGGACAGGAGGTGTTGGGGATTTGCAGCGGCTGGGCACGCTGTGGGAGCCCAACACAGTGCCATGTGCAGGCAGATGTGCCACACAGCTGGGAACCACTGGGGATGTGCACTGGGATCCCAGTCCTGCTCCAGGTGCGCTCAGTGCTGGGCTGTGTGATGCTGGAGCACAGCCCCAGGCTGTGAGGGGCAGAGGCTGCACTGTCTCCATCACCATCTCCTCTGCTGCTGCTTTCAGTATCTGGAAGCTCCTGCTGATGGCTCTGTGAAGAAGAAACCCTTGAGCAGCAATCAAACAGAAAGAAAACCCCACAGCCCTGTGTTGCAGCGTTGTGCAACTACAGGCCCTGTGTCCCCCAGCCCCAAGCATCCCTTCTGCCTCAATCAGGGCTTTATTTCAGCTTATCTGATACACACACGTGGGCAATTCCTCTTTCCCAGCTCAGATGCAGATCGCTGGGCCTCAGTGCAGCAGTGAGAAACCCCTCCACAAAAGGGAATGACGCCCTGGATGCTGACATGGACAGGTTGCAGCCGCCCGTCCCGCTGTGGCAGAGGAGGGGCAGGGGAAGAAACTGGCTCGACTCGCTGTGCTGACGATGAAAAAGGGTGGCTGGTTACTAAGTGGCACGTTAACATCACGTCCAGCCTGGAAGGAATGCACCCAGGATTCATTAGGGGAGCTGTCGTTAGGTGAGTCACGCCGCGGCCATGCGGATTTAGGCAGGATGGAGCTGTAATTGTGCAGGAGGGGAAGGGATGCTTGGTGTAATCGTTCTGGGTGCTGCAGGGAGAGGCAGGAGGGCCGTCGGGGTGTGATGCAGCCACCCTTCATTAAAACAGCAGGCTGAAATGTAGGGCACAGCGATGCCGTGGGGAGCGCTGAGTGCTGATGGCGCTGGGAAGGCAGGGTGACACCGCTCCTGTCGGAATAGGGGTTTGGGAGCAGTGAGATAAGCAGGGTAAACATTGCTGTGGTGGCAGCACGGGGGCAGGGATCAGCCAGCCTGGATGGGTGGGCAAAGGTGTCCTCATCAGAGAGATGCCCCATCCATAAAGCGAAGGGAAACGTCACTCCCTGGGCAGGAAGGGGAGGTGGGGATGGCCCGAGGCTCTGCGATGCTGGGAAGGGGATGTGAGCCCTAGAGGTGAGAGGGCACCTTGTGCTTTGTGTGGGCTGTTATCTGCCTCCACGTACATCACCAGGCACAAGTCCTGAACCACGCTCCCACCTAAAGGCCCTCTGCTCTGCTGGGCACCATCCAGCAAACCTTCAGCACCTCCGGAGGATGCACCAGGTTTTCCAAGCACAAAACCCCTTTTACTGCCAGAGTTGGACTCAGGGATCCATATGGGTCCTTTCTAAGTTGGGATATTCTATGGTTCTACTGGGGACGGTGGGTTTGTGAGTGCACATGGGGAGCTGGGCTGGTGTGTGCAGGCAGCTCCACACCACTGATCTCACCTCGATGCGCTCAGGAGAGAAGGGGACACCCTCCATTCCCAACTCTGAGCAGTTTGCCGCGAGCTGAGGTGCTCAGAAACCCCATCTGTGATCCTTCAGCTCCAGGGCTGGCAGGTGAGACAGCAGAGCAGCACGAGCTGCGCGCTGCGCCTTCCTCCCCACTTGTGAGCACTCCCCTGGGCTCAGCCTGCCCGGCCCCAGCCCGTGCCACCCAGCTCAGCGCCGTCCCGGCCCCGCTGCCCTCCTGGTATGCACGTATCAATGAAGCATTTGTCTCGTGCTTGGCACCAGGCGTCAGAGCGCGAGGGTCCGTGCACTGGATCGCCTAAACACAGCTATAAATGGAAAGAGGAGCCGCACAGACAGGCTGTTCTCTCAGCCGGCATGAGCTCAAATAGCACAGTTAACACCCGCGCTGCCCGAGGACACGCAGGAGCTCCAAAATCCTGGAGGTGGCCGAACTGCTGCCTAAACCCAGCTCAAACCCAGCCCAAACCCAGCCTGAGCCTGGCCCTAAGCCAGCCCGAACCCAGCCCAAACTCAACCCAGCCCAAACTCAGCCTGAATCCAATCCATCCCCAGCCCATCCCCAACCCAGCCCACACCCAGCCCCAGCCCAGCCCAAATTCAACCCAAACTCATCCCCAACCCAACCCAAACTCAGCCCAAATCCATCCCCAACCCATCTCCAACCCAACCCAACCCAAACCCAGCCCCAACCCGAACCCAGCCGCCAGCAGGCACAGGGATGGTGCTCAGAGCAGAGCAGATTAAGGACAGCTGAAAGGTGGGAGCAAGATGCTTCTTGCACTCTGGAAACCTGAGACAAATTCCTCCCGTTCCTCCAAGCCCGGGGCTTGGCCAGACCTGCTTCCAGGAAAAGGGCTGAGGCTGTGAGCACTGCGCTGTGCCCAGGGGGCCTGAGCTGCCTGGGAGCAGCACCAGTTGCAGGCCTGGGTTGGCAGCAACTGATGACCCTTAAGGTCCCTTTTAACCCATGCAATTCTATGGTAGTGGGGCCACGAAGCTGCGAGATGAGTGCAGCTTTGGGCGCACAGAGGCACCACCATGCAATGCTCCGTGTGCAGATCTCAGCAAGCTCTCCCTTGTCAGTCACTCAGAGCATCACAGCAGGGGCGCAAAACCAGGAGGAGAACCACGAGCCGTGCAAAGCAGGGAACCCCCAGCAGCCAAACTACTCTGTGCTCCCATCTGTGAGCAGGGAAGTGAAGCAGCACTCAGCCAACCCTGGCTTGGGGGGGGGCACCCAGCACACATCAGCCCAACACCACTCGTTCCATCACCCCCTGCCCAAAGCAAAAAAAGGGAAAAAAAAAAAAAAAGACAGATACAGGCTGCAAGGGGCAAAAAAATAAATAAAGATAGATGTGGTTTTATTGGACAATTAACAAAAGAGAGCTCCGAATGCGGGTTGGTAAACATTTCCTTTCTGCTCACAGCTAGTACTTTCCACTCGCGTCCTTTTGTGCCTCCTGATCCGCCCCAACAATGACAGCCGGTGCTGTCAGGGCTTTTGCTGCCACGCTCAGGGTCACAGCAGCAGCCGACAGACCTGGCAGATATTTTCAGGCCCAGCAGATGCTCAGGGAAGGCAGCACGGTGCCAGCAAGGAGAAATCAGCCCACACAGAGCAGCTCTGCTCCCACCTGAGCGGCTGCTGGGCGCAATCCCTGCTCCAGCCCAGGGCTGATGTCAGAGAGGAGCTCACAGCCCCACAACTGCCAGGGTTTGGAGAAGCAGAGCCAGCAAGTCTGTCCCAAACAAGGACTGGCATGTTGTCAGCACGATTGTTGCGGTGGAACCAGAACTGCCTGTAGCTCTGCAAGGGGAAATGAAACTGCAGCTCCGGCTGGAGGGCAGCCAGGCAACGAGGAGCTCACACCCAGCTCCCAGCCACCACCAGGAACCTGGCTGGGCACAGGGCTTTGCTAGAGAATGAGCCCCCCCGGCTTCCCAGCCCTGCCATCCCACAGGGAAACACCTTGCTGCAGGGTGCTGCCCCAAACACAGCGTTACAGCAGAGGAGCAACGTGGTGCTGGTGACCACGGGCACGGGATGCTACTCATGAGAAGGCAGGAGCAGCAGGGAGGGTCACCCAGCATCAGCCCATGGGAGCCCAGATGGTGACCAAAGAGCAGGACAGCCGTGGGACCACCAGGAACAGGGACCAGCAATGAGCAGGACCCCCATGAGACATCATTACAAACAGAAAGCTCCCAGCTGTGTGCCACCAGGCTTTGGGACAGAGAGCCCAGAGCAGAGGGGGGGACAGAGGGAGAAGCAGGAGCCCACAGCTGCTCCAGACCAGCAATCTGTTCTGGTTCTTTCCAGTAAGGACAGCAGCAGTACCACCACCCTGCCCTGATAGATAAGCAAATAAAAAAACCCAACAGATTTGAATACACTGTATTTATTTTTAAACAGATTCTAAAGAATCTAGTGAATCTATGTCAAGCCCATCGCATGACAAGTGATACAGGTGTAGGAAAAAAAAAACACTTAAAACAAAATCAAGTGCCATTCAAGCTACTGGAATCTTCCCAATGCCCCCTCACAGGAGGCAGCACAGTATCACTGCAAGGTCTAGAAAATTCAGATTCAACCCATTCATAAGAGTCCCACCACACGCACTCCGCAAACCAAAAGTGCAACCTCAACGTAAGTCGAGCTGTCAGCTGTAGGGAAACACATCTGCAATAGGGAGGGGGGAGAAAAAACACCTCAGTTTAGTGCATCTCTGTTTCTGTGGGTAGGGAGTAAGGAGCCTGTAAGAATGAAGAGAAGCATGCTACATGTCGTGGAGCTTGAAATGGGAGATGGTGGTCAGGATCTCGAAGCCAGCCTTGGAACAGCTTTGCACGGAGCAGAGCACCAAGCAGTTTGCAGGCTGCTGGTGAGCTGTGCCTACAAAAGCAAAGCTGCCCTGTGGGAAAGCCACAGTGACACCAGTGCTCCTCCATGGGATTTGCTGGGCAGGAAGCAAAGCTGCACTGATGGGAAGCTTGGTTAGTTGGTATGAAGCGCAAGGAGCCCCCGGTAGCATCCCCACCCTGCATCACCCCTGCCCCCAAAGAAGGCAGCCATCTGGCTAGACACAGTCCAAGTATCTAGACTTTATTTAGCACGTCTGCCCGCCTGGTACAGTCGTCACAGGAACACAAATGAGTTAGTAGAGATACTGAGCCTCAGAGGGAGCACCCAGCTGCCTTCCCACTGCCCCCATCCACGCACAGATGGCCTGAGATGATGCTCGGTGAGAAGGGGCAGCTGAGGGAAAGGCTCTGCACACCCTACAGATGCACCCCGGGGCCCTCAAGACACAATAGGGCTTGTTTGGAAGACAGAATTTCTCCTAACACCAACCACCCCTCACTTGGGACCCCAGGAGCTCAGCTTCTAAGCTAGAGGATGAGTTCCAATGCTTCACACAGCTGGGATCACAGCAGCTGCTTCTGAACAGGACCTGCCCCAAAGTGGAGGAGGATCAGGGTGCTGGGAGAGGGCTGTGCATCCCCCCCACCCCAAGGACACAGCCCCCACCGTGAGATAACAGCCTCCTGAACGCGTTGTGCTTCAAGGACAAGCCTGCTCTTCCCACAGAGCCCCAAACGTGATGCCAAGAAAAGCAGCATTGCCAATTCCCCTAGAAAACACAGCACCTTGCACAGCCTGGGGCTCCCACACCGATCTGCATCATCCTCCATGGACAAATTCACCTTTAGGCACTACAGGATGGGGAACTTCAGTCAACCCACACCTCCCCCCAGCAGCATCCCCCCATTTCAGGCATTTACACGCAGTCAATCCAAGCCAGAACCCCGGTGACACGTCGCTGCAATCCCACTCTCCCTCCAGCAAGGCTACTAGAAATGATCTCACGACCCTCCCCCCCTCCCCCCATACAACAGAAACATTTTCCACGCAGGACATCCCCTCTTCGAGCTCTCGGGATGTCAACCCCTGCAAAAAATATATATCTATGTATCAGGTTTACAGTACAGTTGTGTTTATATTGTTACAGGCACTTAAACAGGATTCTTTGGTCCGTTCACAGGAATTAGCCACTCTGGCTTCTCTCATCAGAAACCACAAGTCTGCACACACCCCATAACACCCCCTGCACTAAAAAAAAAAAAAGAAAAAAAGATTCAGATCCATGTCAGGGCAGTGCAGATCTACCTCACCGGAACTCTACAATCTCCCCTCACACCCCCCCACCCCCCGTTGCCTACAATAAATCTTCCCATCTGAGCTCCTGCAGCGCTGCGCGGCCCATCACAGCCTGCAGGCCTGGCTCTGACCACCCCAGCAGCAACACACGCTGGGGGGAGAGAGTGAAGTTTGCTTTTGTTGCAGTCCTAGGAAGGTCGCCCCCGCTCCTGGCTCCCCAAAATGAGGGAATACCTCGAGGGCGGCCCCCGAAGTTCATCCCAGCTCAGTTACAGGGCAGCCACGTCGGGTAGGATTGGTTGCAGGGCAGGAAGGGCTGCACGTGGGTCACGTAGTAGTTGACGTTGATCTCACTGATGTAAGGGGCCGGCTGGTAATAGCAGGTGACATTTGTGACCGTGGGGAGGATGTTCTGCTCGGCCAGGACCCTCACGGCCAGCGTGGCAATGAGGTTCAGGGTCTGCCTCCGCTCGTGTCCCATGAGGCAGACCGTGCTCTCATTGACCACCCGGTGGAGGGTCATCAGATAGTCATAACGCTTGTCCTCCATGCCCACGAAGTGGCTCTGCAGATAGCACTCCAGCTTCCTCTGCTGCTCGCCGATGTCAGAAAAGTCAATGAAAAACCTGGAGCACATGTAACGCTGCAGAGCCTTCATATCCACCTCGGATTTGGGCTTGAAGCCCCTCACCAGGAGGTTGCAGTACTTCAGGAGCCCCCCGCCTCTGATCTCCTCCGGGTTCCGGGTGGCGATGACTCTGCTCCTCAGGTGCTCCATGGCCTCCTCAAAGTCCCCATACATGCTCTCCCCAGTGACCGTGGGGTGGAAGTTCTCAGCCATGGGGTTCTCCGAGCACTCCCCGAAGAGCAGAAGGGAATCCAGGATGATCTGAAAGGAATCCACGCTGAACTCAAACTGCCTCCTGAGAGAGTCCACGAATTTGAGCTCCACGTTCTTCCCGCTGTTGTTGGACAGGGAGATGAGGCTCCAGCGGTCGGTTTCGTTGCACACCTTCACCAGCTTCTGCACATAGGCTTCCTTCAGGGTCATGGGGGTGATCTTGTCTTTGTTGACCCCTTCGGGGAGGAAGTCGAGGAGGCAATCCATCACCACATCCTTCACCTGCTGGAAGACGTCTTCCGTCTTCAGATCCACCCCGAAGATGAGGTCGAGGTCTTTGTAGCCCAGCCCGCTGTCCTGGTGCAGCACGTGGCTGGCTGCCGAGCCGTTCAGCCTCACGTTGTGCACCACGATCCCCTTCTGCTCCAGGCGACTGCGGACAACCTGAGGGATAAAGAGAGCGGAGGTGAGAAGCGAGCGCCCGTTCCCAGGACAGCGCCGAGATCCGCTCCCCACGCTTATATGGGTCGCTCCAGTGCAAGGATGCAAAATAAAGAGCTAACCCAGCAGAAATAGGTCGCTCTGGGAGACCCACCCCAGCTGATGGCACAGCTCTGGACGCCTCCCCCACTCTTCCTCACGTCAGAGGGTCTCCCAGCACAGCCGTGTGCCCTTCCCTCCCCTCCCCGCCATCCCAGCCGCTCCTGGGCAGCAGGCTCTGCTCCTTGGGGCTGCAGCCCCAGCCGTCCCCAGGTTCCCCCCAAAGGGCTCTGGGGAGGAGCGGCCACCGTCCCTGCTGATCTCATCAGAGCTGCTCACTCATTTCGGCCATCCCCTTTTAACTGTCAAGATTAATTAGAGGCAAATCAAGATGCCAGAAGCACTCAAAAGCCCTGGCCAGGTGTATGCAAGTTCGTGTCCTAACTAGTAAGTGTATCCTAACAATTTCCAGTGTGTCAGAGCTTCGTGCTGAACTTGGCGTGCTATCAAGCACAGGAGGCAGCTTTCATCTGACGGGTGTTACTCCAGCAATGTCAATGCTCAGCCCTGGCACACCCACCCGTACCTGCAGAGCTTTGTTCATTGAGTACGAGGCTGAATCATTTGCCTGATTACTTAACAGGCAGCAGGCTGGAATCACCTTAAGACCATACAATAAACTGCCACGGACACGGCCTGTCATTTAACAGAGCTCACAGATCTCGGGAAGGCAGGATGAGCTGCTGCAGGAAGATGCAAACCTCACCCCCCTCCATCCCTTTCATTTCTCCTTCCTGCAATTACAGAGCCCTGCAAACCTCCGCCTGCTCACCTGGTGCTGGACGTGAGGAGCCAGCTTGGAAGAGCCCAGCGTTGGGGTACAGACAAGCCGTTACCCCAGCAGGGCACCCCATTCTCCCAGGGACACCCACGTGTTGCAGCTCTGTCCTTTGGTTTAGAAGCAGCACCGGGGTGAAGGACCACAGCGAGATAGCGAGCTGCGCTGACCCTGAGCTGCCCTTGCAGAGAGACAGGCTTGGAAAAAATGCTCCTACAACCGTCCTAAAACTTGTTAAACCCCAAGCCCAGGAGGCCGCTCGGTGCCCTGATGCAGCTACAATGCTGGCATTTCCCCATTGCTCTCTGACATTAGGAACTGCTGCTCAGGCTGGAGATGTGCCCGGGCTCAATGCCAGCCCCACGGCAACGGTCACATGCTGGGCAACAGTTAACCAGGGAGCTACTCGCCGTCGGAAGTCCCAAGTCCCCACCAGCATATGAACACATTTGTCCTCTAAAAGAGGAATTTACTCCTAAAATCCAGGAGTGGTTTATCCACGGAGCAGCTGTCAGAGAGCTGAACCCACCATGAGCTCCCTATTGCTGCAGGTGATGGTGGCTGAGCCACGCGCGCTGCCAGCACTGCTGCTCTGTGGGGCTCAGTGCGAGGTGAGAAACAGATCACAGGGAGCCCAAAGCAGAGCTGGGGGAAGGTCTCCTTCCTGTTTTAACTTCCCAGACGCAAGCCAAGGATGGCTGCTCAATCCTACACTGAATCTGTGGGCTACAGAGCTCCAGCCCCATAACCGAGGCCCCGGACTGGGGGCTGACAGCTCTGCTAAGCATTCAGGGGGGAACAACTCCACCCTGACCCCAAAGCCTCAGCGCTGAGCAGACCCCCCCCAAGGACAGGAGGCTCCAGTAGGGGCAGGAATGTGCTTTTCCCCATAGGGGCAGATATTTGGAGGGTTACACGGCTGCTGACCTGCTTCCCAAACCCGCACCTCACCTCCACTGCGGTTGAGTTAATTGGTTCTGACAGGCAGGCAGCCCTACCCCAACCCTACCTGCTGCTCCCCACTGTCAACGAGTGCCTTTCTGGTTACTCCTCGGAATTACTCAGCCCCAAACACTGCGGGAAGGATCTCGAGCAGCATCCCTTTGGGACACAGCTATATTAGGGGTGCTCCGGCACTGCCCCGACCCCATAGCAGCTCCTTGGGCCGCACGCAGCAGCTCAAAAACCCAAAGACATCAGGAAAAGAAGGAAACCAGCACAGAACCACAGCGGGGCAGCCGGGGGGCGGCATCCATCGAGCTCCGAACGCAGCAGCAGCAGCCGCTGTGCTGGGAGAGCCGGCCGGGGTTCGGCTTCGCGAATCTCCTTTGTAATTAGAAGCCAACATGCCCGATTTTACATTTGATGAGTCATTACCGAAGAATGAAGTTGCCTCCCAAATATGAATATGCATCAGCTTATTTGAACTACGCTGTCAGTTTAATATTAAACACGGTTATGACTTTATGGTTAAACCAACAGAACTCTGGAATCGGAACGAGAGCCCCGTGCGGACCGGGGGCAGCGCCACGTGCGGGGCACACAGACGGGGGGGGAGGAGGGGGAACCTCCGGGAGCGCAGTGCGGGGCTCCTCCCACTCCCCCCCCCCCCTCCCCCATCTCCCACCCCCCGGGACCGCGGCAGAAGCCCAAAAGCCCCCCGGCGCCGCCCGGTTCTCACCTGCACGATGGTTCGGGGCTTCACGGACAGCGTCGGGAAGTTGCCTCGGCCGTGGATGGGGACGGTCTCGCCCAAGATCTGGTCCAACCGCTGCACCTGCTCCCATGTCAGCACGCTGAAGCGTTCCCCGGTGCGCTGCTCCGAGCAGCCCGCAGCCTCCGCCGCCAGCATCGCCCCGCCGGCAGCTCCCCCCGGAAGCGATGCGGAAAACAGCCGGAAATACCGGGCTGGGGGGTGGTGGTGGTGATGGGGGGGAAGAAGGGAAGGAAAAAAAAAAAAAACCAAAAAAAAACGAAGCCGGTGCCGAGCGGGGGGAGCTGCGGGCGGAGGCGGACCCCGGGGGGCGCTGCAGGGAACCGTTCCGCGCCGCTGCGCTCCCGCCCGCCGCCGGCTGCGCTCAGCACTGCGCTCGCCCGCGCCCCGCCGCCCCTTTATATAGGAGCCCCGCCGCGCCCCCATTGGCCCGGCCCCGCCGCCAATCGCTGCCGGGTCTCGCAGCCCCTCCTGCGCTCTGATTGGTGAAGAGGGAAGGTCGGGGCTAGACGGAGCGCCAATCGGAACAAGAGGAAAAGGAAAGAGGCGGGGTAAAGAGAGAGGGGGCGGGGCTCTGGCTGCTTGCCCCGCCCTCTGGCACGGCCTGCGGCGTGGAGGGATCCCGGCGGCTTAAAGGGACCGCGCCCGGGAGCGGCGGCTGTGGGGACACCCAGCCGTGACGCCTGGGATCCCTCACTGATGTCCCGCTGGTGGCTCATTCACACCCCACTCGTGTCCCATTGATGCTCTGCTGATATTCCATTGACTTTCCATTGGCATCTGTTGATGTTCCCTTGCTGCTGAATGGATGCCCCTTACACACCCTGTTGGCATTCCACTGATGTCCTCTTGATGTTCCATTCATGTCCCATCGATACCACATTGGTGCTCCATTAACATCCCTTTCATGTCCTACTGGCATCCCATTCATGACCCATTGATACCCAGTTGACACCACGTTGATACCCTACTAGTGTCACCTTGATACCTGCTTGACATCCCACTGATGCCCCATTGATACACCACCCACGGATGCCCAATTGATAACCAAATTGATGCCCCATTGGTTTCCCACCATGGAACCCACAAGGTCAGGTGCTGCTACTGCACCCTGGGAGCCTGAACCCCACTGCGTGTCCCACTGCTGTTTTCTCCTAAGAGATTCCCCAGCCCTGGGGTCTCCCTCAGAGCCCATCTCCACATCAGCACACTGCTCTCCCATTGGACAGTGGAGATCTCCCTGTGGGTATCAAGCTCTGCTGCTGCTGATGCCCGATACATGTGTAAATGGGGCAGCTGCCAGCAGGGCGTCACCAAATCAGGACACAGCCCGTGTGCCACGCGTGTGCCAGAGTGCTGGATGGTTCCTTGGAAAGCCACAAAGCCATTGTGCAAAAGGAGGTGAAGGATAGGGCAGATGTTCAACATGTGGGGCAGCCAGGACTGGGCTCAGAGTGCGCCCCAGAACACCCTGAGGGATGCCCACAGCTGCTGGGGGAAAACATGGGGTTGGGCTGGGTGTGCTGGGTGAACCCTGAGGCAGGAGCACTGCGAGGCCAGCAGGCAGCTGCAGGCTGTGGGGTGCAGGGAGTGAAAGCAGTTTTCCATGGAACTCTGCAAATATTGCTGTTGCAAAACCCCTTTGGTGGCACCGGCAGAAGAGCTTCATCAGGAAGTTTCCTAAGAGGCTGATGGACGAGTCAAAGTGCTTAGGAAATCAGGAGAGCATCCCCTCCCTCCCTTGTTTTCCATGTCCCATCTCCCATATGCAGCGTCCCACCTTCCCTGTCCCAGTTCCCATGTCCCACGTTCCACGTCTCATGCCCCACACCCCACATCCTATTTCCCCTGTGTTGAGCCCCCAGTGCCCGGTGCCTGGGCAGTGGCCGTGCCCTGTGATGCCGTGGGGCGCACTGCAGGGCCCGACAGCACTGAGCTGAGCACCCACTCCTGGACTCCAAACCCTGGCACCGGGGCGCCCTGGCAGAATCCCTTGGCATATGGCTCAGGAGTTGGGCACAGGGGGCTGCAGTGAGCAGCGCCCCGCTGGGGGCTCTTTCCCAGCCCCTGTTGGGTGCTCGCCTGCAGACTGGGTGCAGGGCTGGGGGGCAACCGAGCCAGGCTGGGAGGGAACAGCCCAACCGAGGGGTCAGGAGAGGCCTTGGGGACACCCTGGCTGCATGGGACCGACTGCTGCCCGCCTGCCATTGCGCAGGTGAGCCGCCTCCTTGAGCAAGCAGCAGGGACCCAGCCCTGCTCCAGAGCCACCGACGTCACCAAACGTCACCCCGGGCAGCAGCAGCGCTCCCTCGTGCATGGCAGAAGTCCCCATGCGTGCACTGCCTGCCCCTGGCACCCGGCCCCATGCATGCCTCGGTGTCCCCATGCCACACACCAGCTGTCCCTGCATGCACGGCGCTGTCTCTGCATGCACACGTGCCACCATCCCCATGCAGGTGCCAGCTGTCTCCAGGTGCTCACCTGTTGTCCCTACACAAACAGGCCACCATCCCCACGCTGTCCCCGTGCACATGTCTGTGCCTGCTGTGGATTTAGGAGGTGGGTCCCAGCTGTGTCTGCAACCTCCCTCGGCAAACAGCTCCTGGCTGCCTCCTGCTTGCACCATTTGTGCAGTTGTGGCAGTGCTGGAACCCTGCAGCTCCCAGAGCACTGCTTTGTCCCCAAGGGAGCTGTGAGGATGGGGAAGGTGGAGCTGTGAGGGGAGGACAAGGTGAGGATGAGGAGGATGAGGTGAAAATGGGGTGGAGGTGAGGGTGAGGAGGATGATGTGGTGAGGAAGAAGAGGACAAGGTGAGGATGAGAAGAATGAGATGAGGATGAGGAGGACAAGGTGAGGATAAGGAGGAAGGGGGAGGAGGAGGAAGACAACGTAAGGATGAGAAGGATGAAGTACGGATGAGGACAATGAGATGAGGATGGAAAAGAGGAGGTGAGGACGAGGAGGATGAGGTGAGGATGAGGAGGATGAGGTGGTGTGGAGGAGGTGAGGAGGAGGAGGAGGGGAGGACAAGGAGGATGAGGTGATGAAGATGAGGAGGACAAGGTGAGGATGAGGAGGTGGTGAGTATGAGGAGAAAGAGGTGAGGATGAGGAAGACAAGGTAAGGATGAGGAGGATGAAGTGAGCGTGAGGAGAATGAGGTGAAGATAAGGAGGATGAGGTGAGGATGAGGAGGATGAGGTGGTGAGGATGAAGAGGACAAGGTGAGGATGAGAAGAATGAGATGAGGAGGAGGAGGAGGTGGTGAGGATGAGGAGGAAGAGGAGGTAAGGGTGAGGAGAAGGGAAGGATGAGGAGGATGAAGTGGGAAGGATGAAAAGGACAAGATAAGGATGAGGAGGAGGGGAGGATGAGGAGGAGGAAGACCTTATCCCACCGAGGAGCTGCAGCAGAGCGCAGAGATGCCAGGCAACCCGGATAATGTGGGGCGGTGGGCGCTGCCCGCTTGGGCTGTGGGGGCAGAAGGAAGGGAGGAGGAGGGGTTGGTTGAGTTCAGGCTCATTCATCCCAAAAGCCGAAGGGGGGAGGAGGCGAAGGTCTGGGCAGAGGGTTTTGTGCAGCGGGTGGGGAAACTGAGGCAGGGGATGCGGGCAGCACTGCCAGCACCATCCCACTGCCCCCAGCCCTTGGCTGGGTGACACCTGGGTGCCACCAACTGCAGAGGACGTCCCCACACCAGCCAAAGCGAGGCTGAGTCCATCCCCACTCGGTGCAGGGGTCCCTGCGTGGCTCCGACAGCCCCTTTGGCTTCCGGAAATAACACTGATGGATGATGGCTGTGATGCCACCCCAGGGAGGTGTTGTGAGCCACCGAGGGCCACCTCCGAGGGCCTGAGATGAAAGGCAGTGCAGGAGCACAGGCTGTTATTAGCACGGCTGACACAGAGCTTGGGAATGGCACCGTCACCTCCCCGGGCTGCACACAGCCCTGCAGCCCCAAGCACCCCTGGAGCCACGCCGGGAGCGGTGGCATCGAGCCCCATCCGGTGACAATGATGGTGCCACCACTCTGCCCCCCAACCCCCCGCGGTGACCCCAGATCTGCAGTGGGGGAACCCAAAACCACACGGAGTTCTCCCAGCAGCGCCCACAGCAGCCCGGCCTTCCTGGTGATGTGCTGTGAGTGCTGCCTGAGCGCGGCTCCAGGTGGTGCCATGCACTGCCATCCCATTGCCACCCCAGCACTGTCCCATCGCCGTCCCATCGCCGTCCCATTGCCGTTCCATTGCCATCTCATCGCTGTCCAATCGCCGTCCCACTGCCATCCCACTGCCGTTTCAATGTCATCTCATCCTGCCCCATTGCCACCCCAGCACTGTCCCATCGCTGTCCCATCATGATTCCATTACTGCCCTGCCATCATCTTATCTCCGTCCCACTGCCATCCCCTCACCATCACCATCCTATTACCATCCCACTGCTGCTTCATTGCCATCCCATCCCGTTGCAGCCCGATTTCCATCTCATCCCATCCTGCTGCCATCCCATCGCTGTCCCTTTGCCATTCCACTCCAGCCCCATTGCTGTCCCACTGCCATCCCATCGTCACCCCATTGCTGCCCTACTGCCGTCCCATTGTTGTCCCATTGCTGTCCTATCACTGTCACATTGCTATTCCATTGCTGCCCCATTGCTGCCCCAGTGCTGTCCCACCGCCACCCCATTGCTGTCCCACTGCCACCCCATTGCCATCCAATTGCTGCCCTATTGCCATCACATTTCTGCCCCATTGCCACCCCACTGCCATCTCATTGCTGCCCCACTGCCATCCCACCACTGTCCCGTTGCCATCCCACTCCAGCCCCATTGCTGACCCCCTGCCATCCCATCGTCACCCCGTTGCTTCCCCTTTGCCACCCCACTGCCATCCCATTGCTGCCCTACTGCCATCCCATTGTCATCCCATTGCTATCCCATCACTGTCACATTGCCATTCCATTGCTGCCCCACTGCTGCCCCATTGCTGCCCCACTGCCACCCCATTGCTGCCCCACTGCCACCCCATTGCTGCCCCACTGCTGCCCCATTGCTGTCCTATCTCTGTCCTTGCCTTAGTGCTGGCAGAATGGCTGCACTGGGTGGAGGCACAGGGGACGTGGGAACATGGCATGGCAGTAAGGGTACAGAGGACATGAGGACGCTCCCTGGGCTCCATCCATGGCCTCGTGCACTTTGGCGGTTGCTCAGCAGTGCCAGCCCATCCCTGGAGGGATCATTAGTCCTCCCTCATTAGAAGAAGTTACTCACCCATTAAGACAGACACAAGAATATCCTGGAAATGCCTCCGTTTGGAGACTTGTGGTGTTCGGGTGATGACTGAAGCCGTGAGGGTGGCTGCACGTGATGC